ACGTTTTTTTAATAATGATGCCACGCAAAGCAAAGATTATTATGATTGTGACCCATTGTGAGAAAATATATATAAAAAAATAGATAGAGTTATATTTTATAATTAATGCATTATTTTTTTGAATTTGGTAAAATTACTGTATTAAATGTTAAGACTTTTTAAAATAATATTTTAATATTTTAAATATATAATACAATTAAAATTTTCTACACATTTTATTTAGATTCAATTCAATTCTTAAGAAGATGAGAAGATCAAACTAGCCAAGGCTCCCTACATTCTACAAAAGAATTGGAAACGTTTCAAAGGAAATTGATTAAAATTTTAAATTATATTATTTTTGTATCTTTATCGTATTACTATATTATATTATAAATTATTAAATCTACTTTTGATTGATTGAATTGAGCATCTGCCTTGCATAGGTAACTAACAAAAGTTGTCGAAACCAATCCCATTTGAATATAATATCTTATGTCATCATTTTAAAATATAATATTTTTATAAATTTAAAATTTAAATTTCAACACTTATAATTTTTTTAACCAATCTTTTGTAACAAAATGATAAAAAAAAATCCATTTCTTTGCTTGAATTTATACAATGATAAATGCACTTTTGGAATATGAAATATTTAATATTTTATTGAAATTGGTCCATCGTCATTTTTTTCTAAGCAAAAGCAAAGAGGCTACAATCTTTTTCACTTGAATCCAAAGATAAAATGAATCAATTTCCAAGCTCCCCCATGCAGTGTTTGTACCTAGAATTAAACATGCTGTTATATCAAGAAGAGAATAATTATATATCGGATGAGAAGAAACCCATGAAATCATTTAAAGAGTAAATTTAATGATTTGTATATTCGTATCGTATAAAATAATAAAATTTATATATTTATATTATATTTTATATAAAAATTAAATATTATAATTTATATTAATGAAAAAATATATTTATATTATATTAATTTTATTTTATATTTATATTATATTTATATCAAATTATATATCTAATTTTAAGTTGTCAGGTTTATTGAAAAAGAAATCCAATGCCCTTAACTAAAGAGTAACAAAACCCAAACAAAGAACAACTAATACACACCACTGGACCATACCTTTGGTACACATCGTACCCTTCAATAAGTGAACTCTTTTTTTTGTCGTTTAGGGATAGCAGAGTCTTACATTAAATGAAAAAAGAAAAAAGTTAAAATTTGAATCCCAATCTTAATATTTTTTTAAAATTATTTTGACCATTAGATCAAATCTATTTTGATCCAACTCAACTTTCCCATTTTCCAGTTTTTCCCATGATTTTTGCATTTTTAAAAAATTTTTAAAAAATTTTTAAATCCCTAATCTAACCCGAACTCGACCCCTATCTACAGGACTTATATGGCTGGGAAGGCATCATGTTTCGAACCCTAACAACCTTCCAATATCCCTTATTTATAGGACTTATTTGAGTGGGGAAGGTATTAGGTCTCCAACCCAAACAACCTTTTTAAAACGGTGAAAAAATTTGAAAAAATTAAAAATTAATTTTAAATAATAATATTTGGTATGAATTTTTTTATTCAGTTTGAATTAAGATCAAATATTAAATATATATTAAATTAAAATTAAAATTTAAAATATAAAAAAATTGAATTGAATTGAATTATATATTTTTATTAATTTTTATATATTTTTTAAATTTTTATAAAATAAAAATAATTATTTTATATATAAATCTATTTAAAAATATTAAAAATTAAATTAAAATAATATATAATAAAATATTAAATATTAATAAATTAAATTAAATCAAATAAATAAAATTTGATTCGAATTAAATCAATTTTAAAAAATTAATTCAAATTTTAAAAAATTATAATATTATATATTATTTAAAAAAATTAAATAGAATTCAATCCAATTCATTATCATTCCTATCTTTCAATATCTCTTATTTACGAAACTTATTTAGTAACATTACACATTGAACTCGAACAACCTTTCAAGTGGCACCAACATTACGTCATTCGAGCTAAACGCTCGTTGGCACTTGCGTATCTCTTTTTATTTATCAAAGTTTTGAGTATTAGCATTTTCCAAAACTTGATTTGCATTTGCAAATTGAACAAAGATTTAATTGGGGCTTGGATATAAGTACCATATACAAACCTTAATGCTCTCAATTCTTTGGAAAAAGATTGATATATCCAAATCTTACTTAATTTAAGCCCCCATTCAAAGTAATAATAATAAAATAAATAAAAAATAAATACATAAGAACTCTTTTCATTATCATGGTTAAACTTAGTACAAATCATGGTTTTTCAACCCAACAACGTGGAATTGAAATCTAATTAATGTTAAAAACCCAATATTGAGCCCATTAAATTATTTGATTCATGTAATTAGTTTTTAAAAATACATAACATTTTTTAAAAAGATTCAAATCTCAATTTTTTTTTTTTTATATTTTTTATATTTTTCCCATGGGTAATTTACGCATTGTAGTTAGTTAATACAACCAAATTTATGTAAAATTTGGAAAACCCAAAACGACAACCACTTTTCTCTTCAAACGCAAGCTTCTTTTCTTGGAACCATAATTGAAAACAAAGCCTCAAGGTCAGGTGACTGAAAGAACCCATTCTTTGGTGGCTCCCTCTTAGCGTAAACCGGTTTTTTCTTCCTTGGCGCCGGCGGACAAGAAGGAGCCGCCGTCTGTGTTTGCCGCCTCGGCGTCTTGTAACCTTCTTCCTGTTCATAAATCTCCATTAAAAAAAAAAACAAAACCAATAATTTTGTAAAAGAAAATGAATCAAAGCCTTTGAAATGGTGAGTTGCAAAAGCTTTTTCAGGGTTTTTATAGGAGAGTTTTGGCTTGCGAGGGAAGAAGGAGGCGTTTTCAACTGATCCAAACGTGTAGTTCAAGCAACTGAATCATTAAATTTCTAGTTGAAAATGGATGCCTCGTGGTATGTTATGCTTAGTGGCATGATATTCTTTGAACTATGTCCATATGTTTAGTCCGCTGTTGTTTATTGGTTGTATCATGCGGTTGAAGGTGGGCCCTATTGAAGTGACTTGAAAAGTTGGAAACTGGGGAGTTGGAACTGAACTGATTGATTGTTCGGTTCGAGTATTCCCTCTCTCCTTTTGTTGCTTACATGGGGTTGGTTCTTTGTTCATGATTAGCGAATAAGATTCACCAAATATGAACAAACGAATGAATGTAAGATTATTTTTAGAAATATTTGGGTTCGATTTATATTTAATAAAATATTTATTTTTTTAAATTTAATTTATTTAAATGATAAAATGTTAGTGTTTAATTTATATTTATTTTAATTAAGTTAACTGAATTTATTTATAAATATTAAATAAATATATTTATAAATAATAAAAAAATTATAATTAAATAAATTTAAATAAATAAACTTAAAATGAACATAAATAAATCTAAATAAATATAAATAAAATTTAAAATAGATTAGAGTAAAAAATAAAAATTTATTTTATTATTATTATTATTATAAATAAATAATAAACAAATAAATTTTAAATAAATTTGTTTAAAAACATAAATGAATTAAATAAAATTTTACTTATATTCAATTCATTTAATAAATAAATATAAAAATATTATTTAAAATAATTTATTAAACTTATATATATATAAATATAAATAACTAAAAATTTAATATATTCACAAGTAGTTCATCGAAAATTTTATTTGTTTACATCCCTAATTAGTTTGGATTGGAATTAAAAAATGAAAATTGTTTAGTTGAGTTTAAAAGTACACATAATAAATACAACATAAAGATGCAAAAAAAAAAAATTTAACAAAAATAATATATATATATATATATATATAATTTGTTCACTCTGATTGTGGCGCAATTTTTGTATTTACTATTTAAACTCGTCACATTTCGGAATATAAACTGCGGTGAAGAGTTTGAAAAGAGAAATTGCGGTGAGCGTGGATCGAACACGCGACCTTCAGATCTTCAGTCTGACGCTCTCCCAACTGAGCTATCCCCGCTTTTGTTGCTAGAGTCTGGCAGACTCGATAACTTTCTTGTTACTCCCTAGGAAACCGTCACTCATTTTTTCCTCATTCGACAAAAAAAAAAGCCTCAAAAAGCAGTGTCATGGTCATCAACAATTACTGAAATACTTTTGATTGCACACGTTCAGGCCCTCGTTTCGCATTCGATAATAATGTTTTTCAGTTTGAAATCATGGAATATTTACGTATTTCATATTTATTAATACTTAATTGGTCGAACACATTACTTGAAAACGACTGTTCTGCTCATCCTGGAAATTCTTGTTCCTAATGGACCATTCGTATTTATAAGCATCAGGATTCCAATTCATGAAAGCTCAACTGGTGATAAATCCTATCAGTATGAATGCAACAATGTCAGTAACGAGCAACTTTGCCATTACTTCACATTGCAGAAGATCTCAGGGCTGGTATGTTAATGGGAGCCCATTTCACTAACTATACCATTAGTTATTGTTAATGGAATCAATACATTGAGTTGATGAAAAACAAAACAATGAGAATATTAAACAAAAGGTAAACTAACTATTACCAATAGAAGCAGCTAAACATCCTTCTTCCCCACTTTGGAAATAAGATTCAGAGATATAAACTTGAATTAAACTTATTCAAAGGCCAAACTACCTACTCAAGTTTAAAAGTCCGTCCAAATTTTGAAAAGATTTGAACAAAAATTAAAATCCATTAAACATTTTCGATCACAATTTTTAAGCCTGAATTTTTTATAAAAAATTTAAAACTCAAATCTGACCTGAATTCATGTATATATAATTTTTTTATTTTTATGTGTAAATTAGATATAAAAATAATTTATATATAGATTATTTCTAATCTCATTAAATTTAATTTAATAATATTTTTTTAATTTTTTATTATAAAAATTAAGTTTAATTATTGAACTTTGAGATTTATTTTTTTTAATTTTGACTGTTCGGACCTAACCTAGACAAATACATAAGCTATTAATATCAAATATGAATATGATTCAACCCGACCTATAAACACATCAAACTTGAATCCCCGGATAGAATGTTGATAGTTTAAAGAAAATGTGAGACCCATCGTACAACAAGAGAGTTCCTTAACAGATTCAAATCAACAAAAAGCATCATTTTATGATGAAGAGGTTTTCAAAATCATTCACATTCCCCTAAACTGCAGCTTTTCGATCTGATTACATCGCTGTTTTCATTAAGGATGTGCAGATGTAGAAGCCATTACCATTGCTGTTATTCCCTGGTGCATTTTATGTACAATGAACATCCATGTAGTTACCTCAAGCCATAAGGTAACAGCCAAAGCAATATGGTGCATGATATATTCACCAGTAAGCAACCTCCGATTTCATTCTGTGACAGCATGAGAATAAGCACCAGCAAAGATCTTATTAAATAACCTGTTCAGAAAATACGGCAAATAATTGTCAATATCAGGTTCTTATATCTATTGTATGCAAAAAGGTTGGCAAGATCTGTTTGAATGTTTCGGTGCATTTGTGTGTTTGTCTAAATGTGTGCATGTGTGTGAGCGCGAGTAAGAGACAGAGAGAGTGGAGATATTTTGCTTATAACCATAGGAAGTCAGCACCTTATCTTTCATATATGTAAAATTCATGATTAAATTGTAACCACCAAATGCTGCAATCCAACCACAGGATTTTGCAGGACCTTGACTTCAGTGAATAGTAACAAATATGCGTTTAAGAGGCAGGCACCCAAGAAGAAAGTGCATAAAGAATTCGTCCCTTCCACCCCTGAAGCAACCAATGGTTATCCTCGTCAATTACAAAGTCCTTGTGATAGCATGTATCTACCCTCTCCTTTGCCATCTTCATGATCTCCTTATTCAGTGGCAACCGCCTGAGCCCAGCCCTCATATTCCGGACCTGCCACTGCTTGTATGTCTCGGGCCTCTCAATTCTTTCAGCGCCCTCACATGCAATGACATTCATTGCCTCCCACCCAAATATCTCTCTCTCAATCAGCATCCTTTCTGGAATTTCACGAGGGACATTAGTCTCAAGCATATCAAATAAAGTTGAATAGTGGAAGAGAGCCTCCCTGAATCTCGTAATGAAGAATGGAGCATTATAGGCACCATTCACAATCCCCAGTATGAAAACATCAGGATTCATCTTCCTGATCAAGTTCAGAACTTTATTCCTTGGACTCTCCACAACCACAGTCTCATCAAGTAGATTTCTAAGCCTGTAAATGCAATTTACAACAAGCACCTCACCAGTATCTATCCTCAGGTCCTCAATTTGAATGGAGTCCCACTTCTGTGCAATAGCATGGAACTCAAATGGAACTTTGAAAGTCTCTGCATAGTTTGCAAGACGGCGCCCTGTCTCTTCAACCCTTTCTGCTGGGCGGAATCCTGGTTGTGGAAGATCGATCCCTGTTATCCTTACCTTAGGCGGACCCCCAGGTCTAGATGAGAGTCGCCGTATTAGGCAAGGCCATTGGAAGCCATATAGAATACCAAAATCAATAATATGAATCCTAGCTGCATTTTCTGCTAGATTCATAATTGTCTTATTTGAGAAGAAATTTGAGATCTTCTTAAAAGGACATGCAGCAAGAAACAGATGGTAAGCTTTCAAAATATCAGCAGCTGATGCTACCTTTGTGATAACAGCAGTGTAACTCTGGGTCCCAGAGCCAGCTAATCGTGCCTCTAGCCCATCAACAAAATAGTGTGCTATCCTCTGCATCCCATCACCCATAGGTGAAGAATGCTGCCTGATTTGCTTCAGCAGCTCATTTGCACTCCTTCGATCATCAGCTGCAACGGCTTGTGCACAAAGGGTCAGGAGAGTTCTCAAATCCACCACATTCCTTTTACTTCCCTGCTTCTTCCCACGTGTCTTTCCACCAGTAGACCCCTTCAATTGTCCATTCTGTTGCACATTCTTGCTTGTTTCATTTTGCAAAGCTTTTTGAAGGTCAATTACACTTTGACAATTTAGTAGCACCTTATCAAACATTTCTGGGCTAACAGTGGATTCAGTACAAACTAACGACTGCTTGTTACTCCTCCCACTCTCTAAATTCACATCCTCAGGATACGGGTTCTTCTTTCCCCTTGATCCCTCCTGCAAGAACTCATTCTTCTCCACCTTATTGACCGCATCTTTAACCTCTTCCTTTAACTCTTTGAGAAACAACCCATCACTCTCCACATCAACAAACAGGCTCCCAACATTTGGAAGGAACCTACTTGCTTCCTCAAACCCCTTTCTAAATTGCATGACAGACTCGCTATTACTAAATATTACAGGAAGCCTAAGAGTACTAACCAGAGAATCCACAAAGCCGTCTACCACACTACCAGTACTGTTCCTTGAGCTATGGGAAGAATTGGCCTGAGAAGCGAAGTTTAAAGACCTTTGTTCACCAAAATCATGGTTGCACCCAGGATCGACTAAGGTACTACAGCTATGACTACTACTACCGATGCTTGCACTACTACATCTCCAACAACTTTGATCACGAATTTCATCAGAGCTTTCTTGGTTTTGATCAGTATAAGGTTTCAATTCGTATTTGGGAGAAGGTGGGTACCTTTCTCCAAGAACCTCATAAAATGATTTCTCTGCAGCTTGAAGTACTGTTGAGGACTCTTTAAACATGCAGGTCTTATCTTCCATATCTTCTTCCATAAGCATCTGATTTATGTACTTAAGAACTACGTCACTAAAGTCATAATCATCATGTGAATCTCCTTCCTCATTCACGCTCAAGGAAGGTGTTAAATTTCTCAGAACTGGAGCAGGTTGCAAAGGAGGAATATCAACATAATTTTCATTCTTAAACTTGTTATCAAAAGTCGGACCGGATAAGGCCAACACAGTATCATCACTTAGCCTGACTCTATCAACAGAACTATTAAGTCCCTTCAACGACCGATCCATGTCTATACTTTTACAAAGGACTATGACAGTAACAATCAATACCCAATACCCAAAATCCAAATCCAAAATTCTGAGCTTCCAAAGTTCTTCAATTTCAAGTGCAACACTAAACAACCAAAATAACCCAGAAAGCCCACAACCTCAAACCAACCCCTCCCTCTTCTTATATTGCCCCTTGTCCAGAAAAACAATTGCTTTTCAACTACAAACTATTACGTTCTTCATTCTCAGAATTCCCTAAAAACATCAAAATAATACAGCATCAAATGTATAGAAAACTGGGTCCAAAATAAAACTGAATCTGGGACATTATAATAACAAAAAGTTAACATCTTTCAACACTATATAACATAAAAACAAGATCTTTGAACAGAACATAAAGACAACATCTTTTGACAGTAGAAACCATGAAAAATAAGACATTTGAACAGTACATAACATAGAAATAAGCATGTACTAATAAAAAAAGAACCCAGATCTTGTTAGAACAACATAAGAATCAAAATTGGAACAAAAAAAAAAGGATTCTTTAAGGAATAAAAAGACAACTTTAAAAACCCATCAAGCTACTTTTAAACTAACTGCAAAAAGAGCAGAGAAAATATGAAACCAAAGTAAAGTACCTGAACTGAGTCTCGGAGAGACAGAGAAAAAAGAAAGTACTCTTAGTTTGGTATAGGGAACAAAAAAAAATATTTTTTTATATAGGATGGAGATGATGATTGTGCTGGGAGGCTCTAGGTTGATTGGTTAAACCTTAGCCGTCCATTCATATGTAAAAATTTCCTTTTCATGTTATTACCACTTTTTTTTCTCTTTTATTTCTTCAATTTAAAAGAAAAAAAAAGGATTATTGAGAAATCCTTTATAAAAATGAATATTTCATTTATATTATTGAGAATAATTATATATACTTCCAGTGGAGGAAATTTGTTTAGTGTTACCAATAAAGATTAGCGTAAATAGTTAAAGTTTAGGGTTTGGCTATAAATGATTTAAATTTAAATTTTTATGATTTTTTTATAAATAATTTGTAAATCAAAAAAATTTTCATAAAAATAAAATTTGTAATTTATTTTATAAATTAAAGATTTATTATTATTTTAAGAATAAAATAATTTTTATTACTCTAAAAAAATTTTTCAATAAAAAAAAATAAAAACAAAGTAGTGAGTGGTGAAATGATAGATGATAATAATTATTAAAATGTACTAATCATAGCTAGCTTCATCAAGAAAAGTCTACAAATTTTTATTGACAGTTGGTTTTTCATGTTTGGATTCATTGTTGGCTGTTCAATTTTACTTAGATTTGATGTTAAACATATTAGAAAATGTTTGAAAAACCTTATTTAGGTTTTGTCTAACTATTATTATAATCTATCAATATTAATCTTTGGTTATTCAATATGTAATAATTTTTTTTATATAAATAAGATCGTAATTTGAGATAAAAATTACAAATATTAAATATTAAATTTAAAAAATAATTTTATGAATTAATTAAATTAACTCTTATCTTATAATAAAAAATGGTTTTTAAATATATTGGAATTAATATATATATATATATATATATATATATATATATAAAAGCCTCTTGTCCATGCTAATCTCTTTGTTAATTCTTTGCCCAATGTGAAAATAAAAATAGTAGTGTAGTTGGAAGAGACATCATTTAAAAAAAAAATCAAAATTACCCAATTTCATTTCAATAATGCTATTTTCTTTTCATCTCTATTCAATTATTAGTAATAAATTTATCATAGCCTTGAACTTTGTTTATGTCATGTGTCATTGTCATTAGGGTTCATCCTTGAAAAATAATTGTTTATATAAAATATTTAATTTTTAAATATAAAAATTTATATCGAACAAAACTGATTTAATTAAAATTTTTAATTTTATAATTATTTTTTAAAAGTGACATTAGAATTTTAATATTTACAAATTATTTTTATCTTTAGATTTCGATCTTTTAAAAAAATTGATTGAGGATAATTATATTATCGTTTGTCTTTTTTCTTGTATATATGTATATATATATGAATTATAAAAATTAATTTTCTTCTAACCAAAAAAAAAATTAAATTTTTAATTTACATTTGGAAATAATTTTTTTTCTCATCCTCAAGCTTCCTTTTTTAAAATAAATGATTGCAAAAAAAAAAAAATTCAACCACATTAAAAGTACATTTTGAAGTGATTCTCTAAATATCTAAAAACTGCTCAACCGGACAACAACATTCGGACAAATAGAGAATGTTGGAGCTAATAAAAAATTTTTTTTGGGTAAAGTGAATCTAAATGTTGGTTCGATAAATGTCATGTAATAAAAGAAATAATTATGAACCTTATAAACCATTCCATGAATAAAAAATTTTGAATAAAGCCAAATCTAAATGTTAATTAAATAAACATCATGTAATAAAAAAATTAATTATGAAACCCGTATTCATCATATGGAATGGTGAAGATAGTACTTTTATTATAGATTAAATAATTTATATATTCGTATTATTTAAAATATTAAAATTATATATTTATATTATATTTTATATAAAAATTATATATTATAATTATATTAATATAAAAATATAAAATATATATTTAATTTATTAAATATATATAATAATTATTAAAATTTTAAATCATATTATTTTTTATCTTTTATTCATATTTATTCTATATAATAATAAATTTTATATTTTAAATTATTAAATCTATTCTATCCATAAAAAAACCTTTTAATTTTGACAACAATTTCATCAAGTTATTTATTCCAACGGTTTTAAAAAAAAAAAAAAAAAGAGGTTGGTTGTAATTGCAGGAGTTTCCAATTCTAGGTGAAAGCTGGGTCCTACTCCTAGGTTTGAACTATTTTCAATTCTTAAATCTGACAAATTATGTCATAAATACAGTATTAAAAAGAAAATTTGATCCTATGAAAGCACCAAATAACTGACAAAAACAAAATTATGGGCCAAGAAATTGGTCATAAGGATTAGATTTTGAATTGTCGTTTCAAACTTTTCCACTTAATAATACAAAACATGGGCCCACAATCTGTACTCAACGAACCAAATTGTTCTCATTTCCTTTCGAAAGAAAGGGATCCAAGTCCAAATGATGGATTATGACATTTTTTACACTAAAATGTTTTTAAAACTGATAAGAATAAAAGAAAAACAATTTTATTAAAGAAATTTATTTTTTTATATATTATTAACTTAAAATCGATTGATTTGAATTAATGCTAAATTTTATATAAATCACATATATCCACACCTTTCAATATGAAAAACTAATCTAATACGAAACATAAACCCCATTTACTTGGGACCTCCAGACACTACTTTTGATCAGCCATTGCGAGCGGCTCGCAAAGATATGATCATATATGTTCTTTTGATTCAGAAACAGATCACGCCATTATCTTATCACACACATCCAAACTTCTCGATATGAGAAGCTAATACAATGTGAGACATGAAACCCATTACTTAGGACGTTCAGACACCACCTTTGATAGATCCATTGCTAATGGCTTACCGAGACACGATCATATTTATTCTTTTGATTCAAAGATAGAATACGCTATTAACTAATCGATTTTAAGTTAATAACACTCAATGATTTGATTTAATAATTTATTAATTTACATATTCTTCTTTTGCTTAGAGTGTTTGATCCTGGCTAGCTAAAACCTAAATCTGATTATGTAATAATCGGTTCAAATTAAATAACTAACCTACCAAGAAAATTAATATTAGACTGCAAAAGGGCTTGTGAATCTGAATCATCATTCCTCCAAGTAAATGAACCGAGGGTTAGAATGATCTTATTTCACCGAATTATTTACAGAATGCGAATGGTTCAGTGATGGGAAGCTGGCAATGAATTGAGTGTGGGAATGGTAAATACATGTGAATCATTTGTACACGTTTCTTTCTCTCAGTTCTTGCCAATGGTTACCTTTCTTTCGTACATTGTAACAGTTGGGAAAGCAGCAACTCCATTTTTGTCAGATTGGGTGTCTGTAATTCTCAAAGTCCCAGGATGATGCTTGCCTTGTTGTTTAGCTCGATACTGATGTCACAGACTCACATCAAACATAATATAAGAGTTATTGAAGTATAAAAAAAATTCACATCATTTTTTTTTTTAAGGTACTTTTTGTAAGATAAAATCATGAGATAAAGAAAGTCAGAGCGGACAATAACTCACAAGGGTGTGAACCGTGATAGTCAAGTTGATTTGAGAAGTCGAAAGGATGGATGCCCGGGTCTCGAAATTGCACGGATTCGGAGCTTAAGTTTCGACCCGTGATAAGTAGTATCATAACTAACCCTATACTGTTCGATCCACGTCGAGCACATCGAGAGAAGTAGGTAAGGTGATCAACCTCCGTGATAAGGGCATCATAAGGTTGAGTGTGGGAGAATGTCACGAACCTAAAGAAGAGTCATAAATCTCACATCGAACATAATAGGAGGGTCACTGGGATATAAAAGTATTCACACCACCTTTTCTTTGTGAAACACTTTTTATAAAATAAAATTATGAGATCAAGGGGTCAGAACGAACAATATCTCATAAAAGTGTGAATTGTGGTGATCAGACTGATCTGAAACGTCAAAAAGATGAATGCTTAAATCTCAAAATAACGAGAATTCAAAATTTAAATATCGACCCGTTATACTGAGACCTGTAAGCATGAGCATCCAAGACCCTGTCCGAGAGTTCATGGGGTACCGGCTCTCCACTTCTTTGCTGAGGGGAAATTTTTGTCGTGTGGACCAATGCTTTCCATTTATCCTTCAGACGATGGTGATGCATAATTAGTAACAATCAATACAATTTAGTGGAGTCTGAATTTTATCGCACCTTTTATGCCATATAATTGAATTCACTGTATCATCAATTGAATTAAAATATTTATAATATAAAAATTTTTAAGAATTTTTTTAATTATAATTATAATAATTTATATTTTTAATTATAATTACAGTAAATTTTATTATAATTTTTAATTTCATTTAAATTGATTTTATCATTCATTCAAATGAATCTAATCACAAAAGATTTATATGAGATAACTGATTATTTTCTCAATGGTACCCGAGGAATCCGCCGTAGTGGTTGTTGTTAATGGCAATTCACTTTCATCGCCAAGTTTTCTTCATAACGAAATGAATAGTTTAGAAAAAAACAAGTATTTTACCTTCAAATCCACAGAAGTTCGATGGCCGGCATTCTCAAAAGCTCGCAATTTAGCATCATGCCACCTGCAGAAGCCAGAAGAAGAAAGATTTTAACTTCTCCACATCTTTATGAGCTGCATCCTGTTCAACGAGCCAATAGAAACAATTGAAATAATTGCTTCCCATGGAAAGCGAGGGTTAGGGAGTACAAGAAATGTGAATATACAGCAACATAGGATATCATACCTTCCAAAACCAAGCTCACACAGAAAACGACCTGACACGTGCAAGCTCAGATTTTCTAATTTTCTTGTTGACAGGGACAACAACTAGTGCCTCAACATTCATTGCTGATCTCTAGAATCAGATAGACTTTGATCAGTTAGCATGTCAGTTTGGGAGGAAAAAGGTTCATGATTATTGTCCACATGATTTGCTGAATTGGGAAGTAAGGGTGGGTCAGGTGTGGCATCAGGAATCCCTACATCTACAGCTGGAGTGTCAGGAGAGCTAGAAACCAAGCAATAATTAATCAAAGATACAGGTAACTCATAATGTAAACACATGAAATAAAGCGATTTAAAACAACAAAGATTCATATCATGCAACATCAAAATCACCTTGTTAAATTTTTAGGGGTTGCATCACATGATAACAAAAGAGGTGGTTCTTAGCACACAGGTGGAGGAGCTTTTGCAGGACCAGGCTCCAAAATGAAACCAAGAGCGTCCAGATTATCTTCACAGGAAATGCCAGTCTGTGATGGAGTTCTGCTGTCATCTCTCCCCTTCTTCCCTCGAAGGAGTACCCCAACACCTATTCCACCTCCGAATAGGGCAGTCGCTGCCTCCATTATTGTCCTCTACCCACATTAATTTTGAGTTAGTAATAATGCTTTAATTAAATAACTATATTTATTCATGAAAAAACAGCACAGCTTTGCTATACCTTCAGTGAACCAACCATTGTTAAACAGGACAAATTTTATATAAAATTTTTTAAGTGAAATTTGTGAAACTTTTTTAAAAGTAATGATTAAGTAAAAGTTTTAATAAAAAATCAAAATCGATAATTTGATAAAATTTAATGTGAATATCAATAATATATAAAAAATTATAAAAAATATTATTTATAATTTAAATTTAATCGATATTATTTAATAATAAAAATTTCATCAATATTTTTATTAAAAATATTTATCTAAAAATAATATAAAAATTCATGGAATATTTTTAAAATTTTGTACGTTTAATTTATACAATAAAATTTTTTAATATATTAATTTTAATTTTAATTTAATATTTTTTAATAAAAAATTTTACAAATTTCACTCAAAAAATTTCATCTAAATCTTTCTCTAATATATATTTGATGATGGTATGGACATTTTGTGGGCGTTTTCAGTTTTGCATTGTGAACTCGTTTTCTGATTGGTTTTGTTATTTTTGGGTTATTAAATAAAAATATTTCATATTCGCTAACATTATCAATTTTATGTATATTTTGGAAAATATTTTTGTAAGATTTACCGTACTATTCTTGTTATACGTAAAGGCCAATCAACAACCATTCAACAGCTCTTAAATGTGACAATTTAGTTAATCACGACATCACTAATAAAAAAAGAGAATCATATCAAACAAATGGGATATTCATTACTCTATTCTTTATTTTTCCTCACTTTTTTTTTTAATTTATTGACTTAAAACGTTGAAACGCACCGTAAAATACTATGTCCGCCGGCCTTCGATTTTTTTCATTTTGACAAATTATTTTTACTTTATTTTCGATCTCTAATAAGTTCATCGTCGGACCAGAAATTAAATCAGCAATTCTTATTCTTACTTTTGTGAAATTTTGTGTATTTGTGTTTCACATATAATTAAAAGCATTTTATTATTTTATAATAGTTATAATATTAAAAATATAAAAAATACAAGCAATATCAAATATATATCAGTAATGATCAATTTATATTAGATTAATTCTTATTATTTTTTCAGCCAAATTTCAATCTTATCAGAAAACTTTAATCCCTTTTAACCCCAAATTTCAATATTGATTAAAATTTTTTTGAATATTAAGCCAAATTAACTTTAAAATTTTAATGAGATTACTATATAAACAGTGAATAAAAAAGAACTGTGGGATGGAATCAGTAAACAAAAAGGGATAAAAATTGCCCTTCATCTGTGGATAGCATCCCTACGGTTGTCTGGCCGCTGCTTAATTTTGATTCTTTGTTTCCAAAGAAGCAAAATCAAGCTTTCTATTTTGCACTGTTGGTGAAGAAACAAAGCATTAAAAAAAATTGCTTTTTTCCCCTAAAAATGCAACAAGTGCACATATTATCAAAAACCCAGAACAGAAAATGAAAACTTGAAAGGGTTAAGGGCTCAAATCAAGTGTAAAAGATTGGATTTTGAGGCACTGTGGGAAAAACCCAGATGGAAAATGGGAAAAAAATTTTTTTGATGATCCCACTCAAGCCTTTGATTTTAAGAAAATTTTAGAAGAAGGTAGGTTTTGAAAATTCAGAACCCATTGACTCACATGGTTCTTGAAGCTGGGGACCGCTGTTGTTGAGGAGGCGATTAGGGTTTAGAAATAGGAGCTTGAAGATAGTTTTCTGATTCATTATATATTTATAGTGAGTTTTGACCTTTTGGGCTAGCGTTAGGTTTTAATTAGCAGAGCCCATGGCGTCACCTTTTCTTATATTCTTTTGGGCTTTGCCGTTGCTTCTCCTTCTGTTTTATTTTGATTTTGTCTTTTTTTTTTTACCTATTTCTTTAGTAAAGAAGGGTGTAGAGCATAATTTCTCTTTTTTTTTTTTAATTTCTCAATTATATTTAAACTCTCAAGTATATTCGATAATTTAAAATAAGATATAATACTATTATACAAATAAAATATAAAAATAAAATATGAAAATAATTCAACTTAAAATTTTAATAATAACTGTATATAAATTTAATAAAATAAAAAATATATTTTATATTTTTATATCAACATAAATTATAACACGTAATTTTTATGTAAAATATAATATAAACATATAAATTTTAATATTTTATATAATATAAATATATAAATCGTCATGTATATTTCAAAGTATAAGAATATTTTTTCTAAAATAAAATATGGACATATTTACAACTAAAATAAACTTTCACTTTATGTTCATGGATGTAATAAAAGCAAAAAAATATAAAGTTGACAACAAATTATAATCCATCGATAAAATATTAAACTCTTAATTTCAATGAATAAAGTTAAAAGTTTAAATCTTATATATATATATATATATATATATATATATAAAGTTACAAAAACATGGAATTGCGCTTATGCACTGCTGTATACAGATACATTTTAGCTCCTTTCAATAGGAGCTAAGGCAACATCCATGTAGAAAAGTTGGCAAAGAAGTTGCTTTCTATGATTACGATTTCCCTGTTAAAAATTGAAATGCAAGAGAAATGTAAGTCACTGATTTTCCACATTGCCGTCGTTTTTGCTAGCAACTCCTATGAAATTCATACCTATCACTTATGTCAGCGGAATTTCTTCTTGTGACAACTTTTTTTTTTTAACTTTCGCGTGCAAGCCCCTTGTTTGGCGTATATTAACAGTTATTATTCGGAACTATAGAATTATCATATATATCTCATAAATGTATTTTAAAAGGGTCGGATTAATCGATTTTTACAAAGCGATAGTTAAAGACAATTAAGATGTTATTTTAAGAATGATTTTTACAATTTATGCATTGGTTTTATTAAATTTAATAAAAGGCAAAACATTGATTAAAATTTTCTTCAAAGCTATGATAATTTTATTTGAAAGATAATTTTTTAACTTGCACAAACGCACACATAGAAAAAAATCATGATATAAAGTAAAATACATAAATATAATAAAAATAAAGGCCAGAATTTAAGAGAAAAATATTATCTTATCAAAGGTATTACTAAAAATTTTTAAAAAATCCAATTATTCCATACTGATTCCACCACCTAAAAACCGAACTGAATCTAATAAAATAACATGACATGAAAATAACACAAAAAAAATGATAATTTATAATTTTAACAAAAATTATATATAAATTTGACATTAATACAAACTAAATTTTATATTCTATAACTCTAATTCCTATAACTCTAATTCAACTATATATATATATATATATATATATATAAAACATGTTTTGTAACGTAAAAATTTTAGTATTTTACACGTGTTTAGCACAATTTAAATAAGATACGGATACATGAATTGCCAAGTTGATTGATGAATAAATGCAAACAAAGAAACAAAATAAACATACTCCATGAAAAATGCATTAATAAGGAAATAGTAAAATTTATTGGTACATAAAATCCAGTTTGAGGTGCTGATAGTAGGAATAAAAGCTTGAATTATAAAGTAGTGCACTTTATAACTCATATGGAACAGACTCTATACCTCTCCAACAACAGCTCTCACACTTTATAAACTTATGTATTCTTCTTCACCTCGGCAGACTTGATAATATCAATGAACTCCGGCTGGAGAGAAGACAATAAACATAAGCCCAAAATATAAGGAATACAACTAGACTTAGACAATCTAAAATAAGACACGATGATAGGATATGAAAACAATTCAAAAAAATATGAAAGTGATACAGTTTAAATTTTAGTAAACACATATGAATTTGACAAAACCAAAAAAGTATTGTGTTTTTGTTGTTGACACGAATTATGACATGTAATTTTTGTGTAAAATATGACTTGAATACACGAATTATCATATCTAAATACAACTTACCATCACGAAATACACACATGGGTGTGTGGACAAAAGTGCAAAATGAAAAAAAGAGCAGAGGAGAGAAGAGTAGAAACATTATTACCTTCAGTGAGGCTCCACCAACCAGGAAACCGTCAACATCTGGCTGAGCTGCTAGTTCCTTGCAGTTTGCAGCAGTGACAGACCCTGATATATGTATCCAGTTAAAAGACAAATTCATCGAATATAAGCAATCTCAGCCTGTGCAAGATATTTGATATTCTTTTCTATCTTTCCTATTATGAGAGAGAGTGATGCCAACTGCCGATCTATTCACTATTTTCCTATTATCCAAGAAAATAGACCTATGCCCACAATGATTTCTTCTTCTAAGCTTTATCATCTAAAACTCTATAAGCTTTGATCCCTCCACGCTACTAGAATAAAACCAAGGTCGAAATTTTTCGATGTTATTTTGAAATGTATCTTGGCCAAACTTGTCGCGAATGAGTTCATTGACCAAATTAAGTCACGTTGGCGTACAAGCTCAGTCTAAGTTTGCAGCCCCTCATTAAAACAGATCTAGACAAGTCAAAGTACATAAAAGATTATTCAAGGCATGTTATATGCCAAAAAAAAAACTCCTCCAAAGGCAATATGAGTAATGTATGGTTCCTTGAGAGCTGAGATGCAACTGGACATATTTAGCTAGTATTTTACAGAAACTTTTTCAGTTTATGAACTATGAAGTTCATTATCTTTAGAATATGAACATTCTAAAAAAGGGCCTACCTACTGAACTTTCACCCAGGATTGTAAGAATAACTTAAGGATAAGATCAAGAACCAAGAGTTTCGGATGATATGGAATACCTCCATAAATAATCCGGGTTGAGGCAGCAACTTCAGGACTGACATTTGCTTGCAGCCATTTCCTCAACTCAGAATGTACCTATTACACAGACAAGAACTTTGTTAAGTAAAACTTCACTAAGGAAAATCATGTGCAAGAACACCCACATTATTCATAGAAATTAGATGCAAAATTGAACTAAGAATTTACCATCTACTCTTGTGTGCAGCATAAAAGTAAGTCAAGAAACACCATTATGAAGTTTTGAAATTAAAACATACTTACTTCCTGAGCTTGAGCTGGAGTAGCAACCTTCCCAGTTCCAATAGCCCACACAGGCTCATAGGCCAAAACGACATCCACCCAATTTGATACTTTTGCTGCCATTGGAAATTACACAGTAAACCAGCCAGAATGCTAGATACTTAGATTTTGTAGCAGTTAGCACTCAAATTATTGATGCAAAAACAAAATTTCAGGGCGAAAACTGATACCAAGGTGAGTAACCATTTTGATGCGAAGATCTATGGAATACACAAACATTATTCTGAAAATAGAATAAAAACACCAGGCTTTATATGATAACAAGTACAATGCAGAAGGACAAAGAAATATTTCATAATGTTATACGTCCAAAATAGGTTTCTCCCAAGAAAAGCGAGAATATGCAAAGAAATCATTGCAACAATGCATGCAATATAGAATAAAAACATGTTGTACTTCAACAAAATATCCAACAAACATAGCATCTAAACAATAAACAAATACTGACCATGCTGACACAAGGTCTGCTACCTTGACATATAGAAATTTTAAGAGTATCAGCAAAGGAATTGCACCATAGGCTTTACAAACGGAAAGAAAGCATCAAGTAAGTACCTGCAATCGCTTTAGTTTGTGCAGCAACAACCTCCATAGTAGATCCCGCTTCACGTTGCTCAAGTGTCTCCCCAATACAAGCTATCACCTTCAAGCCTTGAGAAAGTGCATAAGCAACCTTATCCCCAATGAACTAAAACAAAAGAACCAAAATTGTTAACAGAATGTTGAAAGTTTAACCGACAGGCAAAAATGAGCAAAAGCCAATCATAGCTTACCTCATTTGACTCCTTCAAAATAAGTCTCCTCTCAGAGTGACCAATGATGACCCAAGGAATGTTCAAATTGACAAGCATCTCCGCACTGAATAAAAAAAAAGTACATGAATTATTAGCTTAAAAAATTTGTTGTCCATCAAACCAAACAGATGGCTGGATCAAATTGCATTATATGAAGCGTTGGCCTAAAAAAAAAGCATCACCCTTCTTTAAATTATCAAGATTATATTTGTTCTTAAGAATCAGAAAAACCATAGCAATATCTTTACTTGAGCAAAAACAGAATAACATCTTATTGTGAGGAATCAAAGTGCAAGTCTATTAAAGAACATAATAAAATTGATTGAAAGACTAAAAAACAAGACATAGTAGATAGCAAATCCGGGCATACCTAACCTCACCGGTGAAAGCACCTCCTTTCTTGACCCAACAATTTTGAGCAGCAACATGGAAATCAGGCCTCAGTGAACTTTTTACCAAAGGAAGGAACACAAACGGAGGGCTAATCACAACCTCTGCAAAAGGACAACATGTTGCTCAGAATAAGCCATTTGCCCTAGGGGTGTATATATCAATGCTCACAAGCTACCCGGGCTTCGCTTGGATAAAACTTGAATTCAATTCGGTTATTTTCGAGTCAACTTCGAGTAGCTTGACTTATTGAGAGAGTCGAATTCGAGCATCTTAATGTCAGGCTCTAGTAGCTTGTGAACCTAATTGAGCTATTAAATTTTAATTAAAAAATTACTATTTTACCATTATATATATCAATTCAAGCTCGAGTTTGAACACATAATCGAGCTTCAAATCGAGGATGAGAATCGAGCTAATTTTTATTAAACGAGCCTAATCAAGTAAGCTTGAGTAACAAGATATTTATCTCGAATGAAGCTCAAACTTAAAAATTAAAACTCGATTGAGATCAAACCGAATTTCGAGTAGCAAATTTGGAGTCAAACTCCAAGCTTCTCACCAGACTCTATTACACCCCTAATCTGCTCTATCATCAAAGAAGAAGATTAAAAAAAAAAATCGATTTACTTACCAACAACATCCTGAGAAGGCACCTCTCTTCCGTTTAAAATGCTTACTATCTTCTTCACTTCTTCAGTGGTTCCATTCTACAAACATTTATTTTATGCTTTAAATTATAACTTAAAAATAAAAAGAAATAAAAATCAGACAATAATACACTGTTAAAGATTTATCATGAAATTAATAGCTAATTATTTTCCCTATTATAAGTGATTAACAGCAGATAAAGCTAATATTCATTTTCTGAGGAACCGAACAGATCATCATAGGATAATATTAAGTTATTGAAATAATTTTCAAAAAAAAAAAAAAAAAAGAGAAAATTTCGAAGCAGGAACTCACGCATTTCCAGTTTCCTCCGACGAAGAATTTCCTTCCCATCTTTTTTCTCGACGATCACGAAAATCAACAAAGCGCAAAACTAAACTGAATTTTGGCTTCGGCTTGTGGTGGGTGAGTGATGATATAACGGAGAAAACTTAGTATTAAGTGAAATTACTATTGTGACCAACAGATTCGGACATTCTTTACAGAAAGTTAGGGGTAATTAAGTAAAACTGCAATAACGAATTAGATTTTCGGATTTTGATGCTGTGTGGAGTGAGCACGTCATCGCCTCGCGGGCTACCCTTCACGCCCTCCACTCACATGTCATCATGCCTCATGCGCAGATGTGGTGAATATTTTTTTCTTTTATTTTCTTTTTTAATACTTTTAAGCAATTTTTTTATTTGTTTTTAATATAAATACTTTTAAATTTAATAGAGAAAAAAATTCAATTTTCGAAGATATTTTTATTAACCTTTTTAAGGCATCTCGTTTAGCCACATAATCATTGGTTTTGTTTGCTTGTAAAGTAAAGTCAATGTTTTTTATCATAGTCTTGTTTTTATGGAGTCTTGACTTTATACAATAGAAGACTCGCAATTTATAATAAGATAATTTGTTATATTAAATGAAAATCATTTAAATAAAAAAATTATATTTGACGATAATGTATAAATATTATATATTATTAGTAAATTATATAATAATATTTTATACAAATTTTATTTTAAAAAGTAAATTGACTTAATCTTAAAATATATTTTAAAATAATTTTTTGTTTGAATTATTATTTATGATTCATCAACAATGTATAATATAATATATTAATAATATATTAAATATAAATTTTAAATAAAAGTACATTTAACATTAACCTTGAAAAAATTAAAAAAGTAATACAATTTCTTAAATAATTGTTAGAAAAATAATATGGAATATAAGAATATAAGATACAACTTGATACCTTTTGTCTTATGAACTTTTCGTAGTATCTTTATTAAATTACCAGAGTTGAGCAATTATAAACCTTCGATCATGAACAAAATGGCTTAAAGATATCTAACGCGTGTTGTAAATGTTATTTTTTTAAAAAAATTATTTCATCCTAATTAATTATGTTTGTATAAGATTATGAATTGAAACTCTTTCAAGATACAATAAAATTTTATTTATTTATACTTTACATTAGTATAACAAATTACTAATTACACTTTAACAATAATGAATATAGTTTGTCTTTGTAAGATTTTTTGCAGTAAACAATAGTATAACAATTTGCCTTTTAAGTGAAAAATATATGAGAGAAAGAAGAGAATAATTTAGAATTTTATTGGATTTAATCGAATTTACTTCAATCTCTATTGAAATTTAAAATTGTGATTTTTAAATTATGTTGTTTTAATAAAAGATTTTTTTATTTTAAATATATCTCTTTGAAATATTATAGATATATTTATTTATTTAAATAATCAATTTTTCATATAAAAAATTATTTTTTTAAAATTATAATTTTTTATATAAATTAGTCGATTACCTCTTTGCATTTTTAATTTTTAGAATGCATTTCAGAAGAGAAGTAAAGCAATATACTCCTTCATAGAGGAATCTACTTATTGCTTCTTTTAGAATGCATTGAATATGTAAACAGTTGCAATTGACTTAGTTTCTATTAGATGAAAATTAATTGATTGTTAATATTTATTTTCTTTAAATTAAATACTTAATTGTAATAAAAATAAATGATTGAAAAATTAATTAAATAAAATAGATGTTTATTAATTCAACTAATTAAAAATAAAAAAATTTAATTAATTTATTAAAATAAAACATCAAAACTTAAATAATTATCGAATTTTTATTCTATAACTTTTTGACCTTTTGGCTTCAAAATTTTAAGCATAAATTTCAAAAAGAAATTTGACCGTTACTGATTACTGTGAGTCTGTGACCAGACTTCCATAATTAACCGTTGTCTTTGAAATCAACCGTCAAAATTTTTTCTTCTCTTTTTTTTTTTTTGAAAACTTCAATGACATCGCAAAAACCATAGCCGTCCGATCCTCCAAATCGTGTTTCGTAGCATGAAAAAGCTGGTTTTCAAATTTCCCTAAATCCCGCCCAAAAATTTTCAAAATTTGAATTCGAAAACACTCAGCCCCTTTCCTTAATTACATGAACACCCCTTCCCGCAACGTCTCCAATCCAACCAAACAAAGCCTTCATTTCTTTCTCCGAAAAAAAAAAAACCCAAATCCGCCATGGTTGCAGATTCGAAGCTTCCGCTGCAGAGCAGCAACAACGCGAACATGAAACCCTCGAAAACAATCGAAGAAACCTACCAAAAGAAAACCCAATTAGAACACATCCTCCTCCGACCCGACACCTACATCGGCTCAATCGAACAACACACTCAACGTCTCTGGGTTTACGAGAACGACGAGATGGTCCACCGTGACATTAAATTCGTTCCAGGTCTTTACAAAATCTTTGACGAGATCTTAGTCAACGCCGCCGATAACAAGCAACGGGATCCGTCGATGGATTCCCTTAAGGTCGTGATCGACGCCGAACAGAACTTGGTCTCTGTTTATAATAACGGAGATGGAGTTCCCGTTGAGGTTCATCAGGAAGAAGGGGTTTACGTTCCGGAATTGATTTTCGGGCATTTGTTAACGAGTAGTAATTATGATGATACCGTAAAGAAGACAACCGGAGGGAGAAATGGGTACGGTGCTAAGCTCACCAATATCTTTTCGACTGAGTTTGTTATTGAAACCGCTGATGGGAAACGGCTAAAGAAGTATAAGCAGGTAATTGAACAAAAGTGTGTTTGGGTGTTTTTTTAGTAACCAATATTAAGTAAATTTGTAGATTTGTGTTATATAGAGTATTAAAATTCATATATTGGTATCTTATTTTACACAAAAATTACATGTATATATCAACACGAAAATATGAAATATATAAATTTTTTGTTTAATTCATATATAATTATTGTTAAAATTTTAAACTGTATTATTTTTGTGTTCATTTTTCATATTCTTATCCATACGAAATATATTTGTTTCATGTTATTCTATCATGTTTTATATTAATGACAAGTAGTAAAAATAACCTTCTGTATATTTATATTTTGTAAAATAATAGCAATTATATGTCATAATTTGTATCAATTCTAAAACACAAAATATATTTTTTGGATTTGGTAAATCCATATATGTTTTTTAGCTAAAGTATGCTATCACCATATTTTATTTTAAATTGTAGGTCTAATCACGAGTTAAATTGTTCATTTTTTCTTGAAGGTGTTTTCAAACAACATGGGAAAGAAATCTGAACCTGCTATAACCAAGTGTAAGGAGGGTGAGAACTGGACCAAGGTTACATTTAAGCCAGACTTGGCCAAATTTAACATGACTCACTTGGAGGACGATGTGGTTGCATTGATGAGGAAGAGGGTGTTTGACTTAGCCGGTTGTCTTGGCAAGACTGTGAAGGTTGAGCTGAATGGGAAGCGCATTCCTGTGAAATCATTTCTTGATTATGTCAACCTTTACCTTAGTGCTGCCTCTAAAAATAAGCCAGAACCTCTCCCAAGGTCTTTATTATAATTTTTTTTAAGGTTTCTCTTATGTTAATGTTGAAGGGTTTTTGCCTACAGTGTTGCATGTGTGATCTGTTGATAGAATGTTAGACTTTTAGTTTGAGTGACCAGGATTTGAAAAAAATATATAAGAAGGGATTTTACTTAATAGGCATTTGTTTGTTTTACCAGGATTATAGAGAAAGTTAATGCGAGATGGGAAGTTTGTGTAAGTCTCAGTGAAGGGCAGTTTCAACAGGTATTTTTCTTGTCTGGTTAAAGTTGTTGTGATTAGATTTTAGAGTAGTTGTGTTAATGTTTGGTTTTTTTCTCTGATTATCAGGTCAGCTTTGTTAATGGGATTGCTACAATCAAGGGTGGAACCCATGTTGACTATGTTACTAATCAGATATCTAATTATGTGATGAATGTTGTAAATAAGAAGAACAAGAATGCTAATATCAAAGCACATAATGTGAAGAACCATCTGTGGGTTTTTGTCAATTCTCTTATTGACAACCCTGCTTTTGATTCTCAAACCAAGGAAACTTTGACACTTCGTCAGAGCAGTTTCGGCTCTAAATGTGAACTTTCAGAAGATTTTTTGAAGAAAGGTTTGTTAAAATAAATCACTTGTATGTACATTATGCTAAGCAGTAAATTGCTAACTAATATGGTCCTTGGATGGGTGACGTTGCAGTTGCAAAGTCTGGAGTTGTGGATAGTTTGCTCTCGTGGGCAGAATTCAGGCATAGCAAAGATCTTAAGAAGACTGATGGAACGAAGTCAGGAAGTATTCGTGGGATCCCCAAGCTAGATGACGCCAATGAAGCTGGAGGGAGGAATTCTGATAAATGTACTTTGATTTTGACAGAAGGAGATTCAGCAAAATCTCTTGCGGTAAGTTGCCATGTTTTAACAGTTCAAGTTTCATTTATCACTTGTAGTATGAGGTGAATCTCTTCATACAATGTAATTGTGTTAGGGTTATTTTGAGTTCCTAATGGTGTTAAACATTTTGCAGGTGGCTGGGCTTGCTGTTGTAGGCCGTAATCACTATGGTGTCTACCCATTGAGAGGTAAACTTCTCAATGTGAGGGAAGCCAGCCATAAGCAACTTATGGATAATGCAGAAATACAAAATCTCAAGCGGATTCTCGGACTGCAGCAGGGCAAGGAGTATTCTAGTGTCAAGTCTTTGAGATATGGGCATTTGATGATAATGACTGATCAGGTTTAATGCAGCTCAAGCAGTTTTATTATTGGATTAATATGTTTGTTTTTATCTTTTCTTTGTTGTCTTCATGCTAATAAGCTCATGATCAGTTTGAAAGAATCTCACATTGTGCACTTTCTTCAGGATCATGATGGTTCCCATATTAAAGGGCTACTGATCAATTTCATTCATTCCTTCTGGCCGTCACTGCTAAAAGTTCCATCATTCATGGTTGGGTTTATAACTCCAATTGTGAAGGTTAGTATGTACATTCAGGTAGCTAGATTTTACTGGTTAAACATCATGAAGAGAGTTTTTTACATTTATGCTTACTCTCTGCACAGGCAACTCACAAAAACAAAACTGAGTTATCCTTTTATTCCATGCCTGAGTACGAGTCTTGGAAGGAAAGTTTGGGGGGTAATGCAAAGGGCTGGTCAATTAAGTACTATAAGGTTTGTGTCTTCATTAATTTACAACTAACGAAGCAATCAAGCAGTGTAGGTTTCTGCTGTCCGCTGCTTTGAGGTTTTGTAGCGTTTCTTCCATAATTTTATCATGTCATTTTAGGGGTTGGGAACAAGCACATCAAGGGAAGGAAAGGAATACTTTAAAGATCTTAACAAGCACAAGAAAGAATTTGTGTGGGAAGGTGACCAGGATGGGGATGCAATAGAGCTTGCATTTAGTAAGAAGAAGATAGAAGCAAGGAAGAATTGGCTGCGACAGTTTGAGGTTTGGAGTCGTTACAGTATATGTTAACCTAAAATGCATTGCTTCTAGAGAATCTAAATTGTGAAATAGCCTCTTAATGGAATTTTCTTACCTTTATGAGTTGCAGCCTGGCACTCACCTTGATCACAATCAGACGCTCATCAAATATACTGACTTCATTAATAAGGAACTTATTCTGTTTTCCATGGCTGATCTTCAAAGGTCAATTCCTTCAATGGTTGATGGCCTGAAGCCTGGTCAAAGGATCCTTTTCTGCTCTTTCAAGAGGAATTTTGTCAAAGAAGCAAAGGTTGCTCAATTTTCTGGTTATGTTTCAGAGCATTCTGCTTACCATCATGGTGAGCAGAGTCTTTCGAGTACCATTATTGGAATGGCACAAGATTTTGTGGGCAGTAACAATTTGAACCTTCTCCATCCAGGTGGTCAATTTGGCACTCGTAACCAGGTTAGTTGAAGTTCCTCGTGGTTATTAAAATTGAATTGAGTTCAGACCATCACATCAGAAGGTTTATTACTCTTTTTTTCCACTCAATGGTCATGCACAATCTGTTGCTTTCATGTGTCACAGGGTGGCAAAGATGCTGCGAGTGCTAGGTACATATTTACCAATCTTTCTCCCATTACTCGATATCTGTTCCCCAAGGATGATGATGGCCTGCTAGACTACTTGAATGAAGATGGTCAATCCATTGAGCCAACCTGGTAAATTTAAATTTACTGTACCAAATACTTTACTTGAAACCGTGTAAACATAAAGGTAATGCCTTTGTTCTGGCGTTTAGGTATGTGCCTATTATACCAATGGTTCTCGTCAATGGAAGTGAAGGAATTGGGACAGGGTGGAGCTCTTACATTCCAAACTATAACCCGAGAGATATAGTTGCAAATGTGAGGCGTTTGTTGAATGGTGAAGAAATGGAGCCCATGCATCCATGGTACAGAGGATTCAAAGGGTCTATTGAGAAAACTGCATCAAAGGAAGCTGGTGTTACCTACACTGTTAGTGGAATTATAGAGGAGGTTGATGAGACCACACTCAGAATAACGGAACTGCCAATACGTAGATGGACTCAAGATTATAAGGAGTTTTTGGATTCCATCATAACGGGAAATGATCCTTTCATTAAGGTAAATTTTCCTACTTCCAAATGGCTCTTTCTATTGTTTATGGCTTTTATCTCATAAATTAGTGTACTGGTTGTAGGAATTTAGACAATATGGTGATGATACAACTGTAGAGTTTGAGATTACCTTGACTGAGGAGAACTTGATGATAGTCAAGCAAGAGGGCTTGCTAAAGAAGTTTAAGCTAACAACAGCAATTAGCACAAGTAACATGCACCTGTTTGATTCGAGAGGGATGATTAAGAAATACGACACTCCAGAGGAAAGTATGTGCTAAAATATTGCAATTTGGTGCTGGTGTTCTATTTTTGGTTGCATAACATGTATATTGCTGCAACACTGACTTCTTAATATGTCTAAATGCAGTTCTTGAGGAGTTTTTTCACTTAAGGTTTGAATTTTATGAGAAAAGAAAGGTAAGCTCATCTTCATGCACGCACCTAAAGTATTTTATTTGGACAGAGATACTGATTAAAACCTATCATATGCTGCAGAAATTTCTGTTGTCCAATCTTGAAATGGAGTTGCTGAAAATGGAAAACAAAGTTCGGTTTATCCTTGGTGTTGTAAAGGGGGAAATCATTGTAAACAACAGAAAGAGAGCTGACCTATTCCTTGAGCTGCAAGAGAAAGGTTTTACTCCTTTTCCAAAGAAGTCTAAAACTGTTGAAGTAGACGTGGCTGGGGCTACTGATGATACAGAGGAAACTGAGGAGAACTCTGAGGTTAGCGCAAAAGGAGCAACGGCTAGTGATTATGACTATCTATTGTCCATGCCAATTGGAAGTCTGACCCTCGAGAAGGTCAATGAGCTTTGTTCTGATAGGGATAAGATCCAGCAGGATGTTGAAGATTTGAGGAAAGCCACTCCAAAGTCTTTATGGCTGAAAGATCTCGATGATCTCGAGATGCAGCTTGATGTATGAACCAGAAACTTGTTTTCTGTTAAATTTAGTACTTGTTCTTCTCATTGTTATGATATTTTGTTGTATAATCAGGAGCAAGATAAAGCTGCTCAGGCAGAGGAAGAGGGAAAAGTAGTTAAAGGCAAAGCAAAGGGTGAAGCTGGAAAGAGGGCTCAGAGACAAGCACCTAAAATCCCACGGAAGATAAATAAGAAAGACAACAATGCACAAGCTGTTAGAGAAACCTTGGAAAATTCATCCAGTTCAGCAATGGAAACAGGTGAGCTTGTGATTCTATCTACTAGTTCTCTTATGGCAAGGTTGTCTTTTTCCCAGTCTTGTAATTGTTGGGTTTCGTATTTTCCTCAAAACTGATTAGTATTTCTACTTGATTTACCAGAGAATGTTCCAGCTGTGGTGAAGCCCAAAGGCAGGGGTGGCTCAAAGAAGGCGAAAAAGGTCTTGTTCTGTTGCATGTCAGGATGATAATGAGAATGATAAGTGTTTGATTGTTATATGGTGCTCTTTGAACTCATTAGTGTTACTTCTATGTTTATTGGCAGGATGACAGTGACGACGACGATGAGGACTTTGGTATTCCTGATCTAAGGGAGCGACTTGCCAAGCATAACATTCAGTCCTCTCCCGATCATTCAGCTGGTATGTTTGAATCACAGAATCACACCGTTCACTATCCAGGGTCTTAGGAACAATTGCAAACACAGTGTTACTTACTTACCATGTTAGTGAAATGTGGCCAAAGAGAGACAACGAAACATTTTGGTGCACTTTTTAAACTGACGTAGATTGGGTTTCCAGAAACAAAGTCACATGGATTTGAGAAATGAAAGTGTTTCTATTTTCATAAGAACATTTTATTTGATGGGTCGTCAAGTTTTTTGTCTATGGTGAATTTTACAGATATGGAAACTGAAGTGCCCCAAGAACCAGCTGGGAAGAAAGAACCTAGCAAAAGGGCTGTTGCTAAGAAGAAGCCAGTAACATCTCTTTCAGAGATTTCTGAGAGCATAGCTGAAATCGACATCAGTGATGAAGACTTGGAGGTAGTAGCAGCTCAAGAAGCAGGAAAGAAAGGAAGGAAACCTGCCGCCAATTCAAAAGCAGCTAAGCCCTCTGCAGTGGCCAAGAAAAGAGGGCCAGCAGCAGGCAAGCAGACTCAAGCACAGCAGAAGCTTTTAACAGAAATGCTGAAGCCCGCAGAAGATTCCGGTATATCCCCAGAGAAGAAGGTGAGGAAGATGAGGGCATCTCCATTTAACAAGAAAAGTGGTTCAATCTTAGGCAGGGTTGGGAAAGAGCTAGAGACAACAACTGACAGTGAAGAAACACTTGGTTCCTCCTCTATGTCTGAAAACAACACAGAAGAAGTGACTGAGGTTATCCAACCAAGATCCAGACCTCAAAGGCTCAACCGCAAGCAGACAATTTATGTGGATAGTGGTTCAGAGACTGACAATGCCACCAATGATGATGATTCGGATTTTGAGGAAGATGAAGATTAAATAACTGGATGTTTTTCCTCTGTTCAGGAACATGAACTATTAACACTAGTAGTTATCTAGAACTGGGATTAATGGGAAATTGGGGCTTGTTTCACTTTGAACTTTTTACCCTTGTTGTCTTTGATGATTGAAGCGTGTAAATTAAAATTCTAGCTGTTGAATGTAATGAATGACTACGATTTTGCTTTCCAGCGGCCACTGAGGAGATTAACAAACCCATTTTCATTTTTGATTTCCTTCAGCCAGTGAGCCAGCAGTGGAGGTACTTCTGCTCTCTTTGAAACACTTTTGCTTTGAAATCTTGTTGATAATGGATTGTATTATGGGGAGAATTAACTTGTCAACTACAGCATCATTTACTCCATTTTCTAAAGCCATTGTCATCTCTTTGTGTGGTCTTTGGGCATGGGTTTGATATTAGAGGACTCTTGCATGAGATGAGAATTAGCATGGTGAGGTTGTTTGTTCTATAAATAAACTTGAAGCCCCATGGAAGTGGTAAAATTTATGAATTTTACTATTAAAAATAATTAAATAAAAATTAAAATAAATATATTAAAAGATTTTTTTTATATAGATTAAGTGTTATTAAAATTTTGATATATATTTTTAGTAAAAATATTAATAAAATTTTTACCATTGTTAAATTTGAATTATAAATAACATTTTTAATAATTTTCTATATATTACTGATATTTACATTAAATTCCATTAATATATCAATTTGAATTTTTTATTAAAATTTTTTTTCAAATTTCTTAAATTTCACTTAAGAAACTTAATATAAATTTAGTCCCACCCGCTTACCTTATGGGATATTTAAAGTAATGTATTTACACGTGCGGATGGTCCTCAAGACTTTGTCATTTTTTTTTTTGATAATAGAGTCTGATATTCTATGATCAGATCACGGGACTGTTGGTAAAACTTATTGTTTTCATTGTAAGTTTAAAAATCTTAACATGATAAAGTTAATATTCATAATAAAGGAAAAGGATGGTTATCATCCACAACAACCTCCTGGGAAAGCAAAATATCAGATTAAAGAAAGGAATCAACATGATTTGTTGTCAACTGAGCTGCGAGTTTGAGGATGTGTCAGAAACTGAGCTCGTATGTTTCAAAATCTTGGCAATGGAAGTAATATAGGGATTCAGGAGAAAACATTGTTACCTGCACTTCAGATAATTTGTTTTCTTTTCTATCCTTTGTGATTTTATTCTAAGGTATAATTGCAGCATTGTAATATTTTTTTCTCTGAGTTTTGTGTATGTTTACTTTTATGTTTGAGTCGACCTTCAAAAGTCTCTTTGCTTATTCCTCAATAATAGGAAAGCTTAGACGAATTCATGCTTTAAACTAGGGGGTTTACGGACATTTTTAAATATTAAAAATAAAAAAATTTGAAAATTTTTTTCCCTTGGATGCTGAAAATTTTCCTATTTACACTATTTTTTTTTTCGATAAAATGAATAAATTCATTGATAATTTTTTTTTTATATATTATAAGTGAATTTCTTTGAAAAAAATCTTAAATCTATCACTATCTATCATCATTTATAGCCTTCATTTCCTTGCGAATTAAGCAAGCCTGTGAGGTTAGGATCTTATCATTTGGTAACAAAATTAGTTTTCTATCAAACTTTATCATTTTTTTTTGAAATGGAATTATTTGATTCCCTTTAAGGTCTGCTTTTTATACAATTATTAGATTTCTTTCGAAGGAGATTCAACATTTGATTCTAATATGATTACTTAACTTGAAAGAAGTTGACTGCTTATAATTATTAATAGTGGAATAATAAAAGATTTATTTGTTATCTGCTGGACTTTGCAGATGCTTATTTTTTTTATCTTCTTTCTTTTTGTGAGGGGCAGGGCATTGATGGAGGAATGAGATTACGAGGGGCCGCCATGACTCGTGAGGAGCATGACCATCAACTTACTTTGGCTCTAGGTTAGTTCAAAAATTAAACCTTAACTAACCAATGGCTAATCTTGGTTGCGGCTTTACTGGGGTGCTTTAGTTTTTGGTCGGTCGTGATAATAATGGTACGATAGTCTTGGAGGCTTTGATACCATTTCTATACACAGCGGTAGATAGTACGGTCAAGATTCTGGTAACTGACACAGTTTCAGTTTCGGGCTCTCCGGGTGGTAGAGTCTTGATAATACTATCTGAAACTATTTCAACAGCGTGTAGATCAATCAACTTGACAAGATAATACTAATCATAAGTGTTCCATAGATCAGACATATAATCAAGGTATTCTAGTCGATGTTCAAGACTCTGACACCTTCTTGACACTCATATTCACTTGGGTGCTATCAGAATAACCTTAACCTTTCCATGGCAGAAATGAAATTCTGTATGTACCAGAATGGCCTTGTTGGACACAAGATTTAAAGATTACAAGGGCCATTTTGAAGGAGGAACATCATCAATGGTAAAAATTGAGAACTTTGATGTCGAAGGAGGAACGTGTGATTGTTATGGAGGAGGGTGTTGTTCAGCATCCATTGCATCAGGGCTATGAACTTTTGGAGTATCATCTAGAACTTAAACTGTAGGTTTTATCATGAAAATCTGAGGGAGCATCATTTGATCTGAGTCATCAGTATCATCTGCTTCAACTGATTCATCTGAGTTGACAGTGTCCATGTGGGATTCAGTTTCAAAGGTAGAAGGAAAAATATCTTTAATGGAGAATTGAGGGAGGTTGTCTTGTGCCATCTGGTGAAGTATTTCTGGAAGGGTTTGTGTAGGAGAAATCATAAGTTGTACAGGTTTATCTTCTTTTCTAAGTTTAAGTTCTTATATGAAGTAGATTATATCTAAAAAAAAAAAAAAACCCAACCTTTACCATAAATTTCAATGATGCAACCAACCTACCCAAGCTCAGATTTCCCTTCTTTTCAAGAGTTTCATAAAGACCAGTACAAACACATTCAAAATACTCAGATGATTTCACAGATGATCAATGTTATAAGTATATGTCAGTCCAAAAACTTCAAAAAATCAAACTAAAAGAAGATCTAGAAGAAGAAGGTTGAGAACTAGAGTTGCTAAGAGTTGATAGATCCATGAAAATAAGATGAGCTGGGTTTTGGTTTTGAAGGTTGAGAAAGTGGTTATTCTGCTACTCTTTTAGGTTTTGGATCAACTGATTATTTTTTTCAAAATTTGTGAATCAGAATTCATACCTACACAGAATTGAACACAAGTTAGACCAAATCAGTCAACATTTTGAGCTTTTGATATTTGGATTTTTCTTCTTTCTTGTAAATTTAAATCTTTGAAATCTTTTAGGCATCAGCATATCTGAAGAGCTTCTTACATCTGGGTCTGGAAAAAATTAGAGGTCTGAAAGGTCTGAATCTTCTGAAATGCTTCTTTTTCTTGTTGTTGCAAAAACATGTGGGATCTTTGGAAGAATATTTGATTTGAAGTCCTGAGGAGGAGTCAGAGCATGGTTTTTCTAGCTTTTTGGAGTTGTGCACTAAGGTTTTGATGTATTTATGCTCTTTGCAAATCTTATCAAGTATTTTCAACATTATCTTATAGATATCTCCAAGGGTCATAAATTTAACATCAAGAGATCTGAGGTTCAACTGGGTCCTTGTTTGCTGTGCAAGTTCTTCTGAAATAGAATTGATGAAGGCTTGCTTAAGTTGACATCATCGAATCCACCAAGTATGTAAAAATATTGAGAGAATTGTTGATAGTGTCTGTCAAGATTTTTTGGATGGAGAGAATAGCATTTTAGTTTGAAGAATTGCTCTCTGATCTTTTCCAATCTGTGCGTTTCTTGTCCACAAAAGATTAATGTAAATTGAGAAACAGCTTCTATGATTATTAGGCATTAAAGAAACTGGAATTGTCTGTATTCACCAATGTTGTCCCAAAAATTTTTTAGAGTTTCAACTAGTCTGGAAACAAATCTGATCAATACTGTATTCATCGTAACATTGGGATGAGAGTTTAATTCAATAAGTCCCCATGCTAAGAACTCTTGGAATCTTGAGGGCCATTTTGAAAGAGGAACATCATCAATGGTAAAAACTGAGAACTTTGATGTCGAAGGAGAAAGATGTGATTGTTGTGGAGGAGGGTGTTGTTCAGCATCCATTGCATCAGGGTTATGAACTTCTGGAGTATCATCTGGAACTTCAACTGTAGGTTCTGTCATGAAAATCTGAAGGAGCATCATTTCATCTGAGTCATCAGTATCATCTACTTCAACTGAGTCATCTGAGTTGACAGTGTCTATGTGGGATTCAGTTTCAAAGGTAGAAGGAAAAATATCTTCAATGGAGAATTGAGGGAGTACAGCATTACCCCTATGCAGCAATTATGAATCAAACAGCGAATATCCTTGGGAGTTGTAAATTGCTGCATAGGGGTAATACTGGGGGTTTTTTGTCAAACAGCTGTAAGATCTTTGAAAAATTAAAACAATATAAGGATTAGGTAAAACTTTTGTATATCTTTCATGGGTTTCAATCCATTGAATCCAAATGGGAATGGGTCTGAACCAGGTGAAGAAAAACTTGAGATGTTGTTAACTGGAGTCCAACTAGTGTTTGGTAGGGTTGATAGTTGACTGCTGAAAAAGGTGGAGAAGGGTTTTGAGCTTTAGGAGTGGGAATTCTACAGCAATATAGTAAAGGTGACAAAGGTACCATATAAAACAAACTGTTTCTTTCGGGAAACAAAGAGGTTCAGGGAATTTAAAGGGATGGATGAAAGGATAGTCATGGTTTATACCAAGAGATTGAATGGAGGTGTCTCCAAACTTTCTGAGTGTTTTGGACTGATATTTGAGCAAGAGGTGGGGGGCTTTTTGGTCAAGGGTTTGAGTGGCAAGAAGTCTTGATAACTTGGGAGGAAGATTTTTCACTGGAAGGTTAAAAAATTCATCAGGTAAATCAAAATTCATCATCAAGGTGAGATTTTAGAGAAGAAAGGAAAAAAGGGTTATTGAGGAGTGAGGCTTGCTTAAAAAAGAAGGCGTTGGGTTCATCATGAATATGACTGGATAGGAATCTACAAGGTGTTGAAGGAGGTCTTGAAGGAGTCTGTGAGCATGTCGGAAATAAGGTATCTTTGCCTTTTATATTGTGCGATGATGAAAGAGTACTGTGAGAACCACTGTGATAGCCCGAGTAACTGTGCATTTGGCATTTTTTTCTTTTTGAAATTGAGCATCTGATCAAATTCTGACATATCTAATTCCATAAGAAAATGATATCCAATAAAGTGAAATTCAAATATTTGGATTTCATACTTTATAGCTAAAATCTCTTTTAGTATAGAGTGATAATAAAGTTCCGTCTGCTGCTTCCATTTTGACAAAAATA